AACGTCCACTCCACAGATACAGAGGGAAAAAAATGAAGATTTAATGCGGCAAGGTGTGCAGTGGAGATAGACGTGAAGGGGAGATAGAGAAGAGAGGGACCTTGTCATACCAAGGAAATGATCAGATAACATTAACATCTATAATGTATGGATCACCTACTGTGCACCTAACATTGCACAAAGCACTTGCCATTCATTGTCGTACTTAGCACACCTCAAGTAGGTGTGTGTCACAAGGCACGTAGTAGGTGCGAATGCATTTTGGACAGATGATTATATGATTTTCCTATGAGGCAAATATTGTCTCCATTTAGAAAAATGAACACAGAAACTCACAGCCAGAGAAGGGGCACAGCTGGTGCACAACAGAGTCATATGGTATGCATGTGAGTCCACGCCAGCTCCTCTTCCCAGAGAAGGGCGGGCACCCTGTCTTCAGGGAGCTTGCTGTCTGCTGGCTTCCTCACACCTTCCCTGTCTTCAACCCCCCCTCCCCCACACACATACAGCCTGCCAAGGATGGCTACTTATGGCTCAGGGAGGATGTCCAGTGAGGCTTCCCTCGTAAATTATGGAGGAGGACACATGTGGGTCAGGGCTGGGGAATTCAGTGCATGAGGGATCCCCAGGAATCTTGCTCAGTGCAATCAGGGATTTTCCTTGTGTTCCCCAGGACAGCAGCTGACACAGGCAGTGGGCACTTGCCAGTGCCTGCAAGGAGCTCCCAGGCATCTCCAGGTCCTGCCACTGGAGCTCTCATCTCCAAAATGGGGTTTATCCTACCTTGAATACCCTGGCACCAGCCTGAGGAAGGTTTGAGCAGTGCTGTGCACTCTGTGACCTGTGTATCTGTTTCCCAACCAGGCCCTGGAGACCCTTCCTCCCCACCAGCTATGGTCCCAGCCTATGCAGCCTTCCCCTGGAGAACTGGGGATGAATGGACATTAGTAAACTTGGGGTCATGCAGAGAGATATCCCTCTCTGAATAGTCCTGGTGTTTGGTTTTGAGTTCTCTCTCTCTCTCTCTCTCTCTATATATATATATATATATATATATATATATATATACATGTACACACACACACACACACACACACACACACACATTGGTATTCCATCCTCTATCATCAGTCTGTCGCTTAACTACTCTCTGACTTCCCCTGGAACTTTTCACCATGCTGCTTGATATTTCCAGAGTGATAGTTTGGGGTGTTCTCCAGAAGCTCGGCGGGAAGGAAGGGCCCCAGGGTCTTTCTTCTACAAGTAAAACACACCAACTTTCATGTGGTCTTCGTGCTCCCAGGTCTGACCACCCTGTGTCTGTCTGTCTGTCTGTCTGTTCACTCCCAGGCTGTGGAGTGACAACTCAGGTCTTGAGTTGGGAGAGGGCATGCCGGGTGTTTCTTTGTGTCTGCCCAGAAAGTCTAAGAAATACTTGCTTAAGAAATGTCTGAGGAGGCTGTCCCTCTCCAGGCTCCTTCTCCCCCTACAACAGAAGCAGGAAGCAGGAGATTCAAAGTGGGGACAGGGAGGAGCTCAAGAGCCACTGCAGTGGCAGGATGGCAGCCCATTGCTGGCAGGGTGTCTGGCCTCAAATTACACAGTCTCAGAGCCTGGACATAAAATTAGCAGCTGTGTTCTCTGTGTGAGGAGCCAGAGAAATACCCGGATTCAGCAGAACTGTGGGCAGGGGTAGATGACAGGGAGAAAGAGAGGGAGAGGGGAGGGACCGCCCAACCCCGGGCTCTGGGCCTCTCCCTGGACACCCATGTCCCCCACTGCAGCAGTTGGGTCTGGGTCACAGGGCAATTCTTAGAGCAGTGGGTCTGAGATGTGGGGAGGCAAGAGCTGGGGAACCCTGGAGAGATGGGTTTGAGGGGCTAATCTTACCCGAAACACGCATACAGACACACACACACACACACACACATACACACGCTGAAAAGTAGGAACAAGAATAAGAAATTTGCAAGTGTCAGCTGGACATGGTGACACACACCTGTAATCCCAGTACTCAGGAGGCTGAGGCAAGAGAATCCCAAGTTCAAGGCCAGCCTGGGCTACATAGTTAAGATCCTGTCTCAAAAATCAAAACAGATTTTTCCAAGTGTGTCTAGGCAAATTTCATGCTTTTTTTTTTTTTTCTCATGGATTCTTACTGCAGCCGCACTCAGGAAGCCTGTTTTCAGGTGAGCAAAGAAAGGTCCCAAAGAAGGCATATCATCCTGCCTGGAGAGACTCAATCACTTCCCTAGGTGTCTGTAATCATTAGGCAATCACTTGGATTCCAGCAGGGAAACACCTTCTCTCCTGCTTATGATGTCATGTCACTGCTGCACACATTATCTGATCGTTCACAGACGCAACAGAAACACACTCACACTTGCCTACACACCGCTGTGTGCTTATACACAAATGTGTGTTTTCAGCCATACACAGGATACACATGCTGTTTACGCAGTTACACGCCAGTGATTATGAAATGCTCTTATGATTTCCTGTGTTTCCTGACCAGCTCCTGACCAACACCTTCCTCCCCTCAGCCATGGTCAGTGCTCGCACCTCTAGCTGCTCACAGACACCTGCCACTAATCTACCCATCCTCTCCTTGATCCGTTCATTGTTCCCTCCTGTAGACTGGGAGCCCTGAGACATCAGTGCCCAAGTCAGAGTCCCTGTTTTATTATTGCTAGCTCCTCAAGTGTGAATTCTTCTGCATCCCATCTGGACTGTGATACACTCCTTGCTCGCTTTGCAGTTTTGCTCTGTGCGCTCTTGGGCAACCCCTGCAGACACCCTGGCTCCCAACGACTTTCATGAGAGGCTTTTCTGTACCACGAGGGTAGCTTCTATCTGGACCTCACACTAGGGCAGGTTTCAGGCTTGGGACTCTGACCTGGTGTGTACCCCTTATTCCTCCCACGCCTGGATGAGTACCTCAACCCTACAGCGGCCCAGGCTGACAGCTGAAAAATCCTGTTCCCATGATCAGTTCTGACATCCACCTTCATACCAGAGCTCAGGTCTGACTTCCTGCCAATAGCAGGACCTGTCACCTGGAAACAGTCCCAGGTCAGGCACTAGAATCTCAGCCCTACAGTGCACAGCCTTGTCCTGTGGGCGGTGTGGCCCCAGCCCCTTGCACTGGGCTAGGCTCCTGCTCCTTCTCTTAGAATCTGCATCTTACAATAATTCCTTGGTTTTGAGCTAGGATTTATGTGCTTAAATTACTTAAAACCATGTAATTCATCATTTTTATATGCAGGGAGTAGAATGGGAAATTTTACCTCTGTTCGCCCCCAATCCCCATCTGTCTCTGCAGTTCAAATGCTTAGTGACAGCTGGTTAAGTGCCTCTGTACATGTTTCTCTTTCTTGTCCCCTCCTCCAACTTTCTCCAACTCTGTCTCTGCTTCCCCAGAAGCCCATGAAGGATGTTGGTCCAGAGATGCTCAGGCCCTGGCCTGGCCAGATGAGGTCCGTCCTCACTGGGTCAGAGCTGGGGAGCTGGGCCAGACAGGTTCCACCCTGAGACTCTGTCTCCATCCTGGGCTCTGTTTGGGGCAGAAGTTCCCTTGGGGTGGCTGGACAGAGCAGGGATGATCAAAGGAAGGGCTTTCGGATGCCAGCAGCTCTCCATTCTTGGAGTCAGACAATCCTAAGAATCCTGAAATCAGTTCCTGTCTGAGTCCTTTGTCTGGAATGTGAGATGTCTAGTGGCTCCAGGCTCCACTGGGCTGGATCTGCTCCAACAAATCTCTGTCCAAGTCGGGTGCAGAGGGAGGTCCCAATTCTGTAGAGGGGCAGAAGGGCCTGCCTGCTGGAAAAGCCCATCAGTGGTGCCCATGGATGCCAAGTCGTGGCTGCTTCCTTGTCTCTTCCTCCCTCTGCTCCTTCTGCTCTGTGTTTGCAGTCCATAAGCAGCTGGGATGGGAATGTCAGGGTGTGAGTATGTGTGGGATCCTGAGGATGGCTGTGCCCAGCCTCGGTGTGGACTTCTCAGAGAGCTCCCTGCAGAATGGAGTAGCCTCACCAGTTCAAAGCAGCTGCAGACGCACTTCATTCACTGACTGAGTGGGCTGAGCATCCGCAGTGTGCCTGGCATGGTGCTAGTGGGGAAGGCAGCCATTGAACACATATCCACAGCACACACAGAACTCCAACCTGGCTCTGCAGTGAGAGCCCGGGGCCTGAGGGAACACGACAGGGAGGAGGGGATGGCTCAGGGTCAAGGAGGGCCTCCCTAAGCAGGTGCCTTCCAAACAGAGACATAGAGGAGATAGGAAGACCAGCATTCCATCAGAGGAACCAGCGCAGGAACACACATTCTAGAAACAGAAGGAGGCAGAGAGGGGAGCAAACTGGGGAGAGGAGGCTGCAGGGAGATGGGTTGGTGGTGGGTTGAGGAGGCTGAACAGGGAGGGTGTGATCAGGCTGGTAATGTGGAGGTCACTGCAGTTGGCAGCCCTGTGAGATGATTGGCTGGGTGTGGGGCTCTCATGAAGGGGAAAGGACAGCCCAGAATGCCAGGTAAGGGTAAGGTGGGAGCATAAACCAACCTTCACACCTAGGATGACAGAGGTCAGGTGTCAGGGAGGCGTCCTGGAGGAGGTGGCATCTGGATTGGGCCTATGGTAGAGCAGGCAAGGGGGAGCCCGCATTCTAGGCCTGAGAGACAGCCTGGGTGGGAGCTCAGCAGTGAAGTGAGGGTTGGGTTTGGTGGACCAGAGGGTGAGCCGTGACTCTCCAGGGACCCATGGGTGGGTAAGCCAGTGCTGGGACCGTGTCTCTGATGCTATGGAACTTTCTGATGCACCAGAGACTGGCACCAAGAAAGTCCTGAATTCAGTGGCCTCACAGGAGCCTGGTGCCTGAGGGTGGGCACTTCCCCAATTGCTGTGCAGCTGGGAGGTGGGTAAGAGGAAGTGTGGGCCACAGAGTCTGGAGGAGGAGCCTCTGTGGGGTCCAGAGAAGCAGGGGTGGGGCCTCCCTGGACCACAGTCTACAACCGCACACAGGGAAGCCAGAAGAAGTGAGAGGTGAACTCAGTCTGGGCCTGTCTGGGTGATCCCTAGACCACCTTCTTTTCTCTCCTGATCACCACTGCCATGGCCCTGGCCCAACAGCTGCGGGCTGAAAGGTGAGTGTGAGGTGTCCTCTTCCTGGGCCGCGGTTCCCTGCAGGCCTTTGGGGGCAGAGGCTGCCCTTCTGTAGCACCTGATCAACAGAGAGGCTGGGTTGAGTGGGAACCTGAATACTGGGAACTAGGGACTCTTGGAACTGCTTTTGGGAACCTGCACCTTGTGGTTCACCAGTCTCAGGCACAAATGAGAACGCCAAGCTCAAGGTCGGGGAGTGGCTTAGCAAGGACCACAAATGAGCAGACCGCAGAGTCTGGAACACAGATGTCTTGGGTTCTAGACCGGGACTCTTTGTTCCACATCACGGTCTGTGGTGGTTTTCCATCTGTTGTTCACACAGAACCACAGGCTCTGCTTTTCTCTCTTTATTCAGAGTCAGGCTCAAGTGGCACCTCCTCCAAGAAGCTTTCCCTGACAGCCCCACTTTTTTGCTCTCTGGCCGCTTGCCCTGTTCCTTTTCTCTGCTTGGCCCTTCTATTACTGGCATATTATTCTCTTCTATTCATTGTTTTTTTCTTTGATGTTGGCTCTCCCAGCAGAAAGAAGTTGCATGAGTGGATTTTGGCTGCTGCTGTGTCCCTAGGATTTAGAACAGCACTGGCTCAGTAAATATTGCTGAAGGAATGCATGAATTGATCTTTGAGCTGGAAAATGGCCTAGATCCTTCTCATCCAAAGCTGACACTGTGTGGGTGGAAAAAACAGGGCCAGGGAGGACAAAGGACTCACTTGGGGTCACATAGCATGAATGCCAAGGCTGGGGCTTAGATTGCATTCCACCCCCCAGGGCCCAGGCTCCTCTTTCAGCAAGCACTTGTTGAATGTTTTCTCAGTGGCCAGACTTGTGCATCCAGCTACAGGGGCCCTGAGTGTGGCTACTGTCCCTTTGGATTGGAACAGAGGTGACATCAGGGAACAAGTGCCCATGTTGACTGCTGGAAGGTTGCAGAGCAAGGTCAGGCTTATTGGGGCCCAGAACGGGTGCAAAGGGCCCATGGTAGAGCCTGGGGATTGGAGGAGAAATGGTGGAATTTCCAAAGGTCAAAGGTGAAAGGTCAGAAGGTAAGCTGGGGGAAGGGGTATGATAGCAGGAGCAAGAGCTTAGGATGGGTGCCACAGAAGGGGTGCTGGGGAGCTGCGTGAAGTTGTCTGACCAAATTCCAGCCCCTCTTTCCCACAAGTTCTCCTGGGAGACCAGCCAGTCACGCAGACCTGAAACTTCTAGAAACTGCAGCTGCTTGGGGCTTGGCTCACTTCCTGCTCCTCAGGGTGCAGGGTCAGGAGATGAGGCCTGTGCCGGCCAGCAGACTGTGTGTTTCCTCCTCCCCATTCTGCCCCATTTACAGCTGCTCTTGACTTTCAGAGGAGATAAGCTGCCTTCCTCTGCTCTTTCACGGGACCACTGCACCTCCAGGGCCTCCTCTGAGAGTGGCCTGCATGGCTCTGCTGGAGGCCACAGCAGAGGGTACCAAGCAGGGGCAGGTTTACCTGGCAGCACTTTCTAGAACCTGGAGGCCTGATGTCCAAAGCTGGACAGACATCCAAAGCTGGGGCTGCTGGGAGTTTGGTTCCCACAGCCAGGTTCTGAGCACACACTGTGGGCCAGGCGCCACAGAAGGTGAAGCAGCTGTCCTGGGAGCCCTTCCAACCCTTGGCCTTCCAGTCCAGGCTCCAAAGAGGACTTCTGAGCAGCCATGTGCATAGATTAGCCCAGCGGGACCTGGGCAGGGCCTCTGAAGGAGGGAGAGGTTCCTCCAGGGAGGCTTGTGCCCAGTCCGGGTCCCTGTGCAGCAGTCCCCTTGCTCACTTGGCAGGCAGCCAGTTGCTCTCATGCAGCCTGAGCAGGGTACTTGCTAAACAGATGGAGGTAGTGGCCCTGCGGTGAGCATGGGTCCTGGGGACACAATGTGAACAATCCCTGCCCTTATGGCGATTTTAGGGCTAGGCTGGCTACAGATGGGACCTCGTGACCTCTCAGAGACAAGGTACTCTATTGTCTTCATTTTACAAAGTAGAAAGAGCCAGAGTGCAGTGAGGAGTCTTCCCAAGGTCCCACCTGGCAATGGCCAAGCAGGAATTTGGTCCCCATCCTCTCAGCGCTGGTCCTGGGTCCTGACCTCCCCACCACATCTGCTAACATCTATCCAGTGAAAAGTCAAGGATCCTCTGATAGGCACAAAGGCCCCTTGTGTGGGGCCTGCTTGTCTCCCTGGCTTCCTCTCTGTACTCTGGCCAAGCCTACCTCCCCACAGTTTCTGGAACATGTCCCTTTTTCATGGCCCTTCCCTCCAGTGGTCAACTCCTCTTTTTTTCCTGGCTGGTCTCTGGTACTCAGCCACCCTCAGCCTGAGTGGGCCCTGCCTCTGAAGCCAGCACAAAACTCTCCCTTTAAGGCGATCTGACCGTGGCTAGGCTCCGAGGTCGTTTATATAACGGCATTCTTTTCCTTTCCAGTCCATGTGCATTTAAGACATGGGATTTATTTGTTTGGTGTCCACCTCCTCCACTCCCTGGAGTTTCTGGATCCAAAAAGGCAGAGACCGTGTGCTAAGGTACTTAGCACAGTGTCTGCCCTGTAGCCAGTCCACATGAGGGTTTGCTAAAATTGTTAGGATAGCAGATGGGGAATGGGTTGAGAAGGGCTGGGGTTTGTCTAAGCTTATGCGACAGCTGCTGGAGGCCACCAGTGGGAGGTAGAGCAGTGGGGTTTGCAGAGAAAGTTCAGGAGCCTGGTTGGGAAGCCCAAGCTCCCTCATCTGTAAAAAACTGACACTGGCTCAGAGGAGTGGCTGGAGCACCCTGTAGTCGCAGTGGTGGTGTTACCCAACCTGTGTGACCAGTCCTCTGCCCGGGGCCATGGCTCCTCTTCTAGTTCCTTCCTACTCCACCCCATCTTATTGCACATGAAATTATTCACAAAATGCACAGACTCTGGGGAGAAAGTGGAGGAGGCAGCTACTCCCAAGGGTGTCACCCTGGGGCCATGTGCGGAAAGTGAGTGAGACATTGCTAGCAGTCATAGAGGTATGCTGGGACTGAGGAAATTTCCTCTGCCCATCTGCTGCAGCCCTGAGTCACCCCCTAGGGCAGCCTCCTGAGTCGTGGTGCAGCCCAGACCCTGGGAAGAACAGGTCACATGGCATCAGCATGGCCTGGGACCATGCAGGCTCCAGGGCCCCCACATGGCAGCCTCACCCCGCTTTGTCTCCTAGTCACTGTGCAGGAAGAATCATAATGGCGTCTTGTTTCCGTGTCTGTCGATAAGCAGGTAGACTCAGTGACCCTGGCTGTGTCTTCTCCCTCTCCCTGACTCTCTGCTTTCTCCTCCTCTGCCTGTTCCTATGGGCACCCCCACTGCTCATTGACTCTGTTCCCTGAGGTCTGGACCACAAGGCACAGCAGGTGTCTTTTACCTAGGCCACTCCAGCTGAGCTACCTCCCCACCCCACATTGAGCTCCACATCTCTGCCCCAGCCTTCTGCCAGATGTCTCCCTGGTGTCCCAGAGGCCACTCAAATTAGCACACCCCAAACTGAGCCCATTAGCCCTGACCTTCCCCAACCCTGGCATCACTCTTGACACTGCCTTTCTTTTACCCCCACATTCAAGCAGTGCCCCCAGTGCTGGTCATAACTTAGGAACAACTCAGAAACTGATAAAATGTCCCTTGGAAAAGCACTAGGCTGCAGGGGAAAGAGGCTCTGGTAGTGCTTAAACAATGACAAGGGCTTTATTTTTCCACATAATAAGAAGTCCAGAGGCCATAACTAGTTCCATGGTTCAGTGACTTCAGGACTAGCATCACAGAGATTCTTTCCATGTGCCTCATGTACTTTTCCTTATGGATGCAATGTGGCTGCTGCAGATCCAGATGTCACATTTGCTTTCAAGGGAGGAGAACTTGTCCATCCTTCCTGATCAGGAAAGCAAGCAGTCTCAAGAGACACCTCCCACCACCCCAGTTTTCAAATCTCTTAGATCTCATTGGCCAGAACTGGTCACATGGCTGTTCAGAGGGAAGCTGGGAAACAGGTTTGTTATGTCAGCTCAGACCAATCTGTCTGCTCGGGGTAGGCACATTGCCTCACCGAACGACGTCAGTACTTGGTTAGTGAAGAAGAAGCAGGGGACTCAGCAAAGGCTAAGGGTGTCTCTGAAGGTGGTGTCCCTTGCATCTGTCCCTACCTCCTTTCCCCACTGATATGGGCTCAGGCCCATATCATCTCTCAGTGGGACGACTTCAGGGCTTTCCAATGGAGCTCTCTCCTCTGAGTCTCTATCCCACCATTTTGCCCCATGTGCTGGCTGCCTGATGCGGCCTCCTAACTCCAGGTCACACTGTACTTCTACTTTCTTCCAAAGCCCTGCACAGCTTGCTTTTGCCTGTTCCTCACATGGCACCTGACACCCTCCTCAGGCTGGCCTTATCTGCCTGCTCCACCTACACCATCAGGCTCCGCCAACACCAGTTCCAGGCCCTTCTCAGTCCTCAGAGCCTTTGTGTATGCTGTTCCTGCTGCCTGGAAGCCCTTTCCCAGTTTCCTACATGGTGGAGTCCTATTCAGTCATCTAAACGTGGCCCAAATGTCACCGTCTTTTTGAGGATTTCTCCAACCTGGCTGTAGTCAATCATTCTCTCTATGGCTTTGTATTAGTCAGTTTCATGTTACTGTCACAAAATGCCTGAAATTATTGACTTATGAAGAGGAAAGGTTTATTTTGGCTCATGGTTATGGAGGTCTAGGTCCCGGATGGGCTGACTGCACTGCTCTGGGCCTCTTTGGGCAGTGTACTGTGCCGGGAACACAGGGCAAACCACTTACGTCTGAGCCAAACGTAAGCAGAGAGGCTGGAGACGGCACGTCCCCAGTGTTTCCCTTAGGACCACCTCCTGGAGGTCCACAGCACACAGCATGGGGACCAAACCTTTAACATATGGACCTTTGTGGGCACTCACCCTCGCCACAGCAGGCTCCCACAATACTCTGTGTGTTGGCTTTGTTTACCAGGAATTCAGGGCTTTGGACAGGGCCTGGCATGGAGTAGGCTCCTGGGTGATCAGCAAGGTTCAGAGCAATTTGTTAGTGTACGAGCTGGCAGTGGTGCCTTCTCTGTCTCCACCTTCCTCCACACCCAGGGCCTGCCCTGTGACTGGTCATCTCTGGATTCCCAGTGCCAGTGAGGGGCCTGACACAGGGAGGGTGTTGAATGGGGAGTGTGGGGTACCCTCTCACCCCCTGCTCGCTTTGCCCTGCTTCACACCCAGGGCCCTGGAATAGGCAGGGTGATAACCAGGACCCTTCCCTTTGACCTCCTCCAGTGACTTCGAGCAGCTTCCAGATGACGTGGCAATTTCAGCCAACATTGCTGATATTGAGGAGAAGAAAGGCTTCACCAGCCACTTCGTAAGACATCCTGCTCCTTTGCCCCGTGACCTCTGAACCTATTCCCTACCTCAGGGGTTTTCAGTAGGGCTGATTGAGGACCTCCAGGGGACATCTAGCAAGTCCCGACACTTCTCTATGGCTGTACAGGGGTTTGAACTCAGGGCTTTGCACTTCTGAGGCAGGCACTTTACCACTTGGGTCACGCCTCCAGCCCTTTTTGCTCTGGTTATTTTGGAAATGGGGTCTCACTTTTTGTCCAGGCCAGCCTGGACCATGATCCTCCTATTTTATGCTTCTTGCCTTTGCTGGGTTGGTAGGTGTGCATCACCACATCCAGCTTTATTCCATTGAGATGGGGTCTCACAAACTTTTTTTGCCGGGGCTGGCTCGGAACCATCATCCTCCTGATCTTAATCTCTCAAGTAGCTAGGATTACAGGCGTGAGCCACCCCACCCAGCTCCCAAGACATTCTGACTATTGCCTCTCTGAGCAGGGCTGCTACTGGCACCTGGTGGTAGAATCCAGAGACGCTACTAAGCCTGGGAAAATGCACAGGACACCCCGCCCCCCACCCCAGGGAAGAGCTTTCCTGCCCAATGTAGTACTGAGGAAGAGAGACAATGCTTTCTGAGATCTCTGAGCCTCCAGTCTGGGCCTGCTAGCTTCTGCCCCTGACCTCTGAGCACCCCCATCTCTGCCCTCAGCTCCCTTTGAATGCTTGCCCACCACCTCCAAGCCCTCTCCACCCCTATCTCTGAGCACCCTCCCATGTCTCCAAGTCTGCCCCCACCTCTGAGCCCTCTCTCCCCTCTGAGCCCTCCCTTCTTCTGCCCTCCCTAGGTTTTTGTCATCGAGGTGAAGACCAAAGGGGGATCCAAATACCTCATTTACCGCCGCTACCGCCAGTTCTACGCCTTGCAGAGCAAGCTGGAGGAGCGGTTTGGCCCCGAGAGCAAGAACAGCCCGTTTACCTGCAGCCTGCCCACGCTCCCGGGTGAGCAGTGCTCCCAGTGCTACCCTGGAACTGGGTGCCTGCCCCAGGCCTCATCTTCCAGCTCCACTGATACTGTCCCATGATTATTTCAACCCCATTCAAAAAGCATTTGTGTAGTTGTGACCCCTCCTCGCAGCTCTCCCCACCTCTCTGTCTTCCTGGCACCTTCATTTCTAGTGCCATGACCTCTGATGGCCTTTACAGCCATCCTGCCTCAGAAGGGCCTCAGTTTGGAGCACAGCAGCAGTGCTGGCTTCTCTGCTAGAGACAGGGATTCCTGCTAAACACATGTCACCCCTGCATCCTCCCTCCACCTTGCCCCTTGAGGCTGGCTCCATAGCTTCAGTGTCACCAGCTACCCAAGGCTCTCCCTTCCCGGTTCCTCCAGGAAGCTGGGCACCACCCTTGTGTGCGACAGGTGCTCTGCTCCTCCCCCTTGTCCTAAAGTGCCCCATGGACAGCTCCTCACGCTGGCATCTCAGCTCCTGCCCTGCTCCTCCAACTGCTATCAACATTTCCCAAACCTCAGAGACCCTGCCCCATCTTCCCTTATTCAAGCTTCAGCCCAACTCCTGCTGTGTGCCACCATATCATCTCTCTCTCTCTCTCTCTCTCTCTCTCTCTCTCTCTCTCTCTCTCTCTCTCAGGAAACCATGTTCCTCTTCATCCCATCCCACTACAGAAATCCCAGGTCTCCCCAAGGTGCCCCTCAGTCCTATTTCCTCCTCCTCCTTCGCTGGGCTGCAGTGGCAGTGAAGAGGGGGCTTGCCTGCCCGGTCCCTGGCTGGTCCTCTCCTCCTCCCTCTCCGGTTCCCCCTGATAATCTTGTCCTGTTTTCTTGTTTATTCCCTTTGCCTTGACACATTACCTCCCTCTGTGAGTGTCTACACAGGTGCCCCTCTATCTTTGAACAGCCATATGTCATAAAGAACCACTTGTGCAGCAAGCCTCCCGTGACCTTCCACATTCTCTAAGTCCCCAGAGGCCTTTTCATTCCTTTTGCAGTTTATGGCAGTGGCTGTCTCACCTTCACATCTCTGTCCTCTCCTTAGTGACTCCCCTAGGTTTTGGCTTTCCATGTTCTGCTGATATTCCTCTTGGCACAGTGGCTGTGACCCGTGAATTCCAATTTCTGCAGACACACTTCAGGTCGTACCTTCACTCTCATTTCTTTCTCCATTAAGCGCTCTCTGACCTTCTGCGGCACCAGGCCTCCCAATCCCCTTGCTCCAACTTCACCATCACAGAGTCTGTCTTCTCCGTTGCCCTAGGAAGGCAGTGTTCTCTGGGTCACCATTGTCCTCTGTCATGTCTTCTTACTCCAAACATGCATCTGCCAGCTACTTATCCCTGCAACTTTACTTGTCACCTTGCTACTAACTCCCAAATGTCTAGCTCCAGCCCAGACCCTCCTACCACACCAGGTACCACCCCTGCCTGTCCTGAGGCACTGGGAGCCAGGCAGGTTTCACATTGTCCCTGGGTGATGGCTCCTGCAGTGCCCCTGGAAGCTCCTGGAGAGGACGTTTGTCTTTGGGTTGGCCACCATCTTCTTCCACCTCCCCAGAACACTCCTTCTCACTTTTGAGAAATGATTCATCCACTCAACAACTATCTACTCCTCCGGGCCTGATTCTGGGCCCATGGTTCTTAACCTTGGCCATATATTGGAAGTACCTTGAGAGACGGAAAGAATCTAACTTCTGGGATTCCAGCGTAATTGTTCTGGAGCGAGCCCCACACAAGGGTATATTTAAAAGCTTCTTGAGTGACTTGTAAATGCATCCAGAGCTGAGGACCCCTGGCATAGGTGATGGGACACAGCTGGAGCAATGCAAAGACCTCTGTGTGTGTGTGTGTGTGTGTGTGTGTGTGTGTGTGTGTGTTGGGAGTAGGTAATAAACAAACAGTAAAGACAGCTGGCCATGGAGTAATGCAGAGAGTGTAGTTGGATGATGTCATGAGGACAGGGTGGTCCCCTTGGCACCATAGACAGATAAGGGGGAACAGCTCTGAGCCAAGCAGAAGGACACTGGCCAGGATTCCTGGCCTCCAGAAGCAGCTGGGCCAGGATCCTAGGTCAGCTCTTCTCTTCCCTCAGCCAAAGTGTACATGGGTGTGAAACAGGAGATTGCTGAGATGAGGATACCAGCCCTCAACGCCTACATGAAGGTATCAGCAGCCATGTCACTAGGCCCTTGGGAGGGCATGAAGCACTGGGAGGGGGAGGGGCAGATGCCAGCCCTGGCATGGCCTTGGGAATTAGGCTGGCTCTGAGGCTCCAATGCCCCAATCTTCAGTCCCCAAAGGCCTGGCTGAGGGGAGAGGCAGGATGTGTTCTCAGGGTGCCGCTGATTGAGCCAGGAGCAATGAAGAAGGTGCAGGGACCGCACTGAGTTGACAATCTGTGCTTAGTGCTCTGAGCCGACAGGTAATTTTTCTTCATTAGGATACAGTGAGGGATTAGGTCCAGCGCCTGCCCCTAAGTGCCCATTGCCTGGTGCAAATAGTGGCAGGTGGGTCCTGAAATCGAAGGTGCATGGCAGACCAAGTCATGCCCACTCACACCACTCACGCACACCACGCAAACTAGAGCAGATCCCCCTGTGGCTGACCCATCTCCTCACCTGAGCACAAGCTGAGGTTTAAAAAAGCTTGTAATAGCATATTTCCATCACCAGACACAGTGCATTAGCAGAGAGAATGCCGGCGTCGAGGTGGTGGGTATGGAGCAGCTGGCATGTCCAGATCTTTCTGCTGACCACCCACCCTGCCCTGCCCCTCTTCCACACAGAACCTCCTCAGCCTGCCCATCTGGGTCCTGATGGATGCGGACGTCAGGATCTTCTTCTACCAGTCCACCTATGACTCGGAGCAGGTGCCCCAGGCGCTTCGCCGGCTCCGCCCACGCACCAGGAAAGTGTAAGTGGCCATCACTGCCCACCCAACCAGCCAGAGCCCTGGGTCCCGGCTAGAAATATGCCTCTTGTCCCTGGAAGGAGAGAAGGAATAAAATCAGTTCTGTCCCCAGACACCCCAGGAAGGTTCAGCTTAGTAGATGAATTTGGAGGATCAATCTTAGGAACTAGAGGGACAGAGGGTGGGTGTGTTTTGATATGTGTCATAGTAGGGACCAGAGGATGGGGACTGAGATGTTGACTCAGCAGAGTTTGGTGTCACTGCAACCCTTGGCAATGCCCCAAGAGCTCTGGGTGCCTAGGGAGAGTGGGGAGGGGCTGGCAAGGAAGGAAGAGCCCCCAGTGCAAGCATTTCCTCCCAGCAATGCCTGATCCCTGGTCTCTTATAGTCCCCAGGGCCAGCTGTGGCTCCTGCTATATCACACTGGCCCCCAGGAGACGCTACTGCTCCTTATTTCAAAGAAACCACTGCCTCCCTCCAACTCCTTCCTAACTGGAAAATACCCATGCCAACCCAAGCCACTGAAGCGGAGCCGGGCTCCCAGAGCCCAGGCCACTGCTGCTAAAAACTCAAGGACAGGGCTCCTGAGCTCTGACCTCCCTCCTGCCCCCTCCTGCCTCCAGCCAGCACCTCCGTGTCCTCTTCTCTCGGTGTCTGGCACCTGCCCTGTGCACCCAAGCAGGTTGGTCTGAATTCCAGCTGTGCCATAACCCCTGGCAGGGCAGGGCATCTCTCCCAGCCTCAGTTTCCTGGGTGAAAAATTAAAATAGTAACATTCCCTCAGAGGTTGCCTGCAGGGAGCAGAGAAAAGAACAACTGTGAAGGTTCGGGTAAGTCAGGGTGCTAAACCATGGCATCCTCTTCCCCTGTGTCTCTGCTTCCTGGTCCACAAGGGGAGAAGAAAGCCGCCTCAGGTGTGGTGAGAATGTGAGGCAAGGTGCTGCCCCAACGAGCAACTGTGGCTATGATGTCCTCTCCTTCCTAGCCTCTCCTGCCAGCCCCCAGCTGGGTCCTCTGAGCACAGAAATGGAAGCTGAGCCCTGAGGGAGTTGAGAGGGCTGACAAGCCCACTTTTTTCTCCACAGAAAGAGCATGTCCACACAAAGAGGCAGCTTTGACCGCATGGAGGCTCCACGAGCAGAGGTACAAGCTGGCCAGGCCAAGGAGCCTCCTGCTGGGTCACACTGTGAGCCTGGGACCATGCTGGGTGCTGTGGGGGTGAGGGAGTACAGCCTTAGCCTCCGACGTCAGGACCCCCAGCCCAGCTGACGGGAAGGAAGTGACCAGCAGGCAGAGGTGGGAGAAGATAACCAACTTTCTGCTCATCCAGACAGCCTGCTGGCCATCCTGGGGCCAGCCCTGCCTTGGACACTAGCGCCTCAGAGATGACTCAAAAAGGCCCTGTCTCCTAAGATCTCACAGTGCCCTGGGGACACACTTACAACTAGGCATTTCCAAGCTAGTGTGGGCAGTAACTGGGTTACTGGTCTGGAACCACAGTGAGGCCTGGGGGTCTGGGAACAAGCTTGGTCCAGAGAGATTGGAGCCATCCCATCCAGCATGGGAAGGAGCACCCATGCTGGATCCAGGGAGACCTGGGTTCTAATTCTAGCTCTTCCACTAACAAATGGGTGGCCTCAGGATCCTGCCTGAGCCTCAGTTTTCTCATCTGTAAAATGAGACACCAGGGGGTGAAGCACTTCAGTAGGAGTTCCGTAAACGTCTTCTCCCCAGGCCATGTTTGACTTCACTGGCAACAGCAAGCTGGAGCTGAGTTTCAAAGCTGGAGATGTGATCTTCCTTCTCAGTAGGATCAACAAAGACTGGCTGGAGGTGAGTTGGAGATGAGATGGAGGTGAAGATGGAGGGAGAATAGAGGGTGCAGGTGAGGATGGGGAGGATGGAGGTGAAGATAAGGGGAGGATGAAGGTACAGATAAAGAGAATGGTAGGAGGTAGGAGGTGAGGATGGAAGATAGATGGAAATGAGGATGGAGGTGAAGATGGAGGGAGGGGAAGTGAGGTAGAAGAAGGGTGGAGGGAGGATGAAAGTGAGGACGGAGAGAGGATGGAGATGAAGTTAGAGGTGAGGGTGGAGGTGAGGACGGAAGGCAGATAGAAGTGAGAATGGAAGTGTGTGGAGAAAGGACGGGGGAGTACAGAGAGGAGGAAAGTTGGTTGGAAGATGGTGCAAAGATGGAGGTGAGGATGAATGTGAGGATGGATGGAGTTGAGGATGGAAGGATGGAGGTGAGGATGAAGGCGAAGATGGAGGGAGGATGGAGGTAGGATGGAGGGGAGGATGAAGGTGAGGGTGAAGGGGAAGATTGAGGGAGGATGGAGGTGAGGGTGAAGGGGAAGATGGAGGGAGGATGGAGGTAGGATGGAGGGGAGGATGAAGGTGAGGGTGAAAGGGAAGGTGGAGGGAGGATGGAGGTAGGATGGAGGGGAGGATGAAGGTGAGGGTGAAGGGGAAGATGGAGGGAGGATGGAGGTAGGATGGAGATGAGGATGAAGGTGAGGGTGAAGGGGAAGATGGAGGGAGGATGGAGGTAGGATGGAGGGGAGGATGGAGGTGAGGGTGAAGGGGAAGGTGGAGGGAAGATGGAGGTAGGATGGAGGTGAGGATGAAGGTGAGGGTGGAGGGAGGATGGAGGTGAGGGTGAAGGGGAAGGTGGAGGGGAGGATGGAGGTGAGGGTGAAGGGGAAGGTGGAGGTAGGATGGAGGGGAGGATGGAGGTGAGGGTGAAGGGGAAGGTGGAGGGAGGATGGAGGAAGGATGGAGGGAGGATGAAGGTGAGGGTGAAGGGGAAGGTGGAGGGAGCATGGAGGTAGGATGGAGGGAGGATGGAGGTGAGGGTGAAGGGGAAGGTGGAGGGAGGATGGAGGTAGGATGGAGGGGAGGATGGAGGTGAGGGTGAAGGGGAAGGTGGAGGGAGGATGGAGGTAGGATGGAGGGGAGGATGGAGGTGAGGGTGAAGGGGAAGGTGGAGGGAGGATGGAGGTAGGATGGAGGGAGAATGGAGGTGAGGGTGAAGGGGAAGATGGAGGGAGGATGGAGGTAGGATGGAGGGGAGGGTGAAAGTGAGGGTGAAGGGGAAGGTGGAGGGAGGATGGAGGTAGAATGGAGGGGAGGATGGAGGTGAGGGTGAAGGGGAAGGTGGAGGGAGGATGGAGGTAGGATGGAGGGGAGGATGGAGGTAGGATGGAGGGGAGGATGGAGGTGAGGGTGAAGGGGAAGATGGAGGGAGGATGGAGGTAGGATGGAGGGGAGGGTGAAGGGGAAGATGGAGGGAGGATGGAGGTGAGGGTGAAGGGGAAGATGGAGGGAGGATGGAGGTAGGATGGAGGGGAGGATGAAGGTGAGGGTGAAGGGGAAGGTGGAGGGAGGATGGAGGTAGGATGGAGGGGAGGATGGAGGTGAGGGTGAAGGGGAAGGTGGAGGGAGGATGGAGGTAGGATGGAGGGAGGATGGAGGTGAGGGTGAAGGGGAAGGTGGAAGGAGGATGGAGGTAGAAAGGGAGGGAGGACGGAGGTGAGGATGGAGGTGAGGATGGAAGGAGGATGGTAGGAAGACAAATGTTAAGATGAATGTGAGGATGAAGGTGAGGAGGCAGGTGAGGATGGAGATGAGGATAAAAGTAAGGGTGACGCAGAGAGCGAAGGAGGAATGGAGATGAAGATGAGGGAGGATGGAGGTGGGGATGGAAGGAGGATATGTGAAGATTAATGGAAGATGGAGGTAAAGTCATTTCAGGTCAGTTGGGTGGGGATAGACACCATGGAAGACCTTGGGTAGTCCTAAGGGAAAATGTCTGGGTCCAATCTCTAGCACCATGCAGACGTAGGCATGCATGTACATGGCATGAGCCCTGCGTCTGTCTGTCTGGGTCATTTCCCAGCTGTGTTTTTAACTGGACTTTGGGAGCTTGCCCAACCACACAGTTTCCTTTCCCATCAGTAGTGAAAGCGCAGAGTTTCTTCATAGGTTCCTGGAAGGGGTAAAGGAGGTAAAGGAGAGGCAGAAGTGCAGGGCCTGTTTCCAGACTGCTGAGGTCTCTGGTGCCTGGTTGGTGCCTGGGGAGACTGTGATGAGACTCTGAACCCAGGGCCTGTCCTGGTCATTGCTTTACCCCACACAGGATTCCATATTTCCTCAGTAAGTGAACACAGCAGGCCAGCATGTGGAGGTCCTGGCATGGGATGCCCTTTTCTATCAGGTCTCATTGTTATTAGAAACTACATCTGCTCAGTGTTCCTGGGCTGTGTCTAGAGGGGCAGGGGTCCCAGGACACCAGGATATCCCAGGGGGGGTCTGGTGTCCAGAGGCTGGAGAGTGGCAACTGGTGTAGGGATTAGGCATTTTTGGCTTCCCCTTCTTCCTGGAGCTCTATCTCAGGAGCTCAGCAGCTGTCACAGCCACTAGGGAGGCACTCTGGTCACTGTGTAGAGAGGAAACATGACTGCCTTCCTGCTCCTGGTCTCAGGTTACAGAAAGGGCAGGGAGCTGGAAGGAGCAGGGGGCCAGTCTAAGTCTCCGTTTGTGTGTCTGTACAGTGGCACATAAAGAAAGCACCTTATTGTGAAGGTTAAGTGGCCACACACACAAAGCATGGGCAGGGACAGGGAGAGATGCCTGGGCTGGAGGAATAGATTTCTACTCAGAGTAGAGGCTTGGTAGCATCTGGGGAGTGAGCAGGAATCACCAGTAGGCCCCTTCACACCCTTTATCCTCCCCTCCCCTCCCCTGCTTTTCTTCACAACTGCTGCCATCTGCTCACTGGACAGTCCACCTGTTGGCCCATGTGTCATTTATCATCCTCTGTTGCAGTGGGTGTTGGTAAGGGCACAGCTGCTTGTCTATCTTGAGTGCACAGAGCCTGTGTGTAGCTGGGACTCAAGAGGTCTTTAATGAATGAATGAATGAATGAGTGAATGAATGATAGTGAGTGAATGAATAAGTGACTGAATAGATGAATGAATGAGTGATTGAGTGAATGAATGAATGAGTGAGTGAATGAACAAGTGAACGAGTGAATGAAATCCAAATAGCTTTCTAGCTCCATTCAGGACCATTCTAAAATCAAAATGTAAGTCTTCTGGGGCAGACAGCTTGGTGAACTTCTTTTTCTCTCTGTTAGCTTTACACCGCTATAACAAAACACCCAAGATAACCAACTTATAAAAAAGGTGAACTTTGAGTGACAGTTTCGGGGATTCCAAAGCCGCATTGCTTTGGGCCCATGGTGAGACAATGCATCATGGTGGGATCACACAGCAGAGTAAAACTGCTCACTTCATGGTTAGAAAGAAAAAATAGAAACAGGAAGGGGAAGCGACCAGGATCCTTTTACACCCTTCAAGGGCATGTCCCCAGTGACCTAACAACTCCACCATGCCCCGCCTCCTAAAGTTTCTACCACCTCACAATAGTGCTATCCTGACGACCAAGTCTTTAGCACATGGGCCTTTGGGGGACATTCTCCCTGTACGTAAAGGGACTCAGATGTTGTCTGCTTCCCCATCACTATAAAGACCTTTGAGGCCCCGAGGTCTGGTGCTGTGCCTCTCCCCTGTGGACCTGGCAGCACCTTCCTTCCCTCCTCAGGGCACAGCCCAGGGAGCCACGGGCATCTTCCCAGTCTCCTTTGTGAAGATCCTGAAAGACTTCCCTGAGGAGGACGACCCCACCAACTGGCTGCGTTGCTACTACTATGAAGATACAATCAGCACCATTAAGTTTGTGTCCTGTGGGAGAGGGGGTCTCCCGTCCTTTCTGCCACCCCTACTCTGCTCCCATACCACACTCCCATGTCGTCCTTGCCCCACTCCAAACCCTGCCATAGCTCCCACTGCCTTCCAGAAAAACTACAACATTGTGACAAGCTGTCAAAGTCTAGCCTCATCCCCCAAGCTTCCCACCATGCTCCCCTGCCAGCCTGATGCCCCCGTCCCCTGCCTGTTGCTCCTTAGGGACATCGCAGTAGAGGAAGACCTCAACAGCACCCCATTGTTCAAAGACCTGATGAAGCTCATGAGGTAAGAGGGCCAGGTAGGAGAACAGGAGGGGGTCAGGTGGCCTGAAGAGGAGAACAGAGGGAGAAGTACGACCTGCTGTGTATTCTGCATTGCATTTGCCTTCTTGCTGCACCCACAGCCCAGCCCTACAGGCTGGGGTTCATCTCCCCTGTGAGAGAGGAGTCCAGGAGGGAGCAGCCAAGGGACAGTGGGACTCAACTGAGGTCACAGTGTATGGTTATAGATTTTCAGCTAGAACTTGGACATGGACCCTCCACCAATCAGGGAACTCACTACTTCCCAAGGTCAAGGTCAATGACAAACAGTTATTTTACAGAATGGTAACAGTGTTGTTACATTTCTTACTATAAAAGTAAACCTAACCATCATAAAAAAAGGGGATACCTGTGATCATGTCATAAAGGTACAAAAAAGTGAAATCACTTCATATTTTTATTCCTGACATTATTCAATGTATATTCAGATCTCTCCAGTTTTCTCTCTTTCTCTCTTTCTCCCTTCTTCCCTCTTTTGCCACACACACCATCATCATTAAGGCGTTTTTGTTGGCCAGTTAGACCTACTTTGGACCAGTTTCTCCTACTTTGAAACTACTGTAAATGACAATGATGACCATGTGACCACTGTTCACATATTTGGTGACTTGTGTTTATTCCCTTGGGATCATTTGGAGTTACAAGATCTAAGTGTTTTTCAAGTCTATCAGACTTCGGACCCATTGAGTCAAATTACCTGTAGGAAGATCAGATCAATTTTTGCTCTGCCAGCCAGGTGGAAGTCCTCCTGCAGCTGCATAGGTAGCTCACACAGTGTCTCTCTGGGGCTTTGTCTGCTCTACTGCACACCCAGCCAAACCCTCTCCTCTACCTTGTGATAATTCTTGAGCCTTTAGCACATTCAGACATCAGACATTTCAGACCATGCCACTAATTTATTATGGAAGTCCCTTTTTCTTTGGAAGTCTCAGTTTTCCCAACTGAACAGTGGAGGTTAGACTACTTGGGTAATAAGAGTCAAGCTCCGACCTTCTCTGATTGTTAGAGCCAGGCCATGAAATTCTCCCTATCCTCTGCTTAGGCCCAAATCCCCTGGGTCCTCTCTTGGGGCCTTGGATTAACCCTGACCTGTCTCACCCAGGAGGGAGTTCCAGAAGGAGGACATCTCTCTCAATTACCAGGATGCTGAGGGGGATCTGGTTCGGCTGCTGTCAGATGAGGACGTGGAGCTCATGGTGCGGCAGGCCCAAGGCCTCCCCTCCCAGAAGCGCCTCTTCCCCTGGAAGCTGCACATCACTCAGAAGGAAAACTACAGTGTCTACAACACGGTGCCCTGAGTCGGTGGTGTCCTGGGGCCAAGAGCCCTCCTGCTGAGAGCAGATGAGGACCTTCTGGAAAGGCTAGGAGCCCGTCTCAGACTCAAGGCTGATGGGCTTGCTGAGTCTGGCTTACACTGTCTCTTTCTCCACTTACCTATGAATTAAATAAACCATTTCATCTCTAAGGCCCAGACTGGGAAAAACAGTATCTCTTGGTGGGAGGGGAGACAAGAAGGAGGAAAATGCCATTAAATAAGCATCTACTGCCAGCTATTTACATCTGGTGAGGGCCCTGGCTTGGGCCTCTTGTCCATCACAAGGTGTTTCTTCCAGAATGAAGAGTGTAGTGGCCCCTCTCCTCAGGGGAACACCCATGTATCAGATGAAAACGATTAAATCAAACCATTCAAAGCATCCAAGGGCGCTGAGAAAGTGGAGGAAGATTTATTGAAGAAGGTCACTAAATCTCAATGAAAGCAGTTGAGTCTGTGGCATCTGAGCCATGGCTTCTTCCACTCCTGCCCCAGACACCCTGGGTTCCCTCTACCTTGGCTCCTAGTCTCCTGTGGTGTCACCCCAGCAAGGGCAGGCCAACAGCCTCTCCTGTCCCCACAGCCCTGGATCATGGAGATGCTTTTTCAAGCAATCGTGGCTGACAGAACTGAGTTTCCTAGAGCAGACATGACAGAGCATGGAGACATGGAGGCTTAAACAACAGCATGCGTTGTCTCATGTTCTATAGAACATAAGCCTAAGACCAAGGTGGGTCATAGGGCCCTTTCCCTATGAAACCTGAAGGAAACTCTTCCTTGCCTCTTCCCAGCATGCAGTGGTTTGCAGCCACCTTAGATATTCCTCAGCTTGCAGAGGCCTCGTCTGTCTTTACCTGGGCCTTCCCTTGTGTGTCTGCACACTGTCTTCCCTCTGTGTACATCTGTTTCCGAATCCAAATTTCTCCTTTTTATAAGGATGCCAGTCATATTTAACTAGGGTCCCCTCCTCTAATGACCCCATTTTAACCTGCTTTCCTCTGTAAGGACCCTATTTCCAAATAAAGTCACATTCCGAGGAGCTAGGTGCTAACACTTGAACATGTCATCTTTTATTTGAACACATAAACCTGTACCCCTCACTTTACCCACCCATCTCCCTTTAGAAGTACATGGGCTCTGCCACAGATACAGCAGGCCAGGAATACTGGATGCTAGCTCCCTTGTAGGGCAGAGGTTCCATGCCTAGAGGGGCAATCTGAGAAGATAAGGGGACAACATCCCCCACTCTGGTGACCGCTCAAAAGGGCCATCTTCCCAGGAGAGGGCTGGCTTCCCTGCCTCCAGCTCTGGTGAAGTGGTACAGAGATTCTGCCCAGGGACAAAGGCAAGGTTTAAGGATGGAGAATTCCATAGCTTTACCTGAGGGGACTGACTTTATTTGGAAAGGAGACTGGAGGAGTTGTCAAAATAATGGAAATCTTGTTGGACAGCATTGAAGAGAAGAATGGTACTCACAAAAATGAAATGCAAAGCCAGGAATATGATGGGGATCCAGGGAAAGATACAGCTTGTCTAAGATTATGCTCATCTTTGGGAATGTGGAAGACTGTATGCATGAACAACACCCACTCAGGAGAATTTAAGAGTAGAAAGCATGGCAGACTTGAAATAATTCTCCAAACACACACAGAGCCATCTGCAAAACATGCCAACCTCTCTGGCTCAAGGGGCTTAAGCATAACCTTCACTAAACAATGGCTGAGCAATTAGCTACTCTCACGCAGAGGAGATTCTTAGGAAGCCAGGCTTACAAATGAAATCCCACTCATTTCCTGACTCAGAAGGCTGGTTGCATTGCACATACCCAAGGCTGCTTGCACACTCTGAACTGTGTGAAACAGGATCCAACTCCCCACACACTTTAAGGTCAAGGGTAAACATCTAACTGGCTAAGGGGCTGAAGCAAAACTTTTCAACAATAAGTGGCTTATGTAAACCATGGGCAACTCCCAGGAAAACAGTCTGGAAAAAAAAAAAAAAAACAAGGAGGAAATTTCTGCACAGGAACTGTGCAGGAAACAGACTTCACAAAATTAGTTTACCCAAGTCATTAAATGAATAAATAAAGACTTCACAAAATGAGTTCATCCAAAACACTCAACAAATGAACTAATGACCACACTAACAGGACAACATTAAGCTGTGGAAAGAACAGGGTAGATTAGTATCTAGAGTTGCTACAATTCATTATCTAAAATGTTCAGTTCTTAGCAAAAAATTATGAGCAATGCAAAGAAGATGAAAGTAAGACCCATTTGTGGGAGGAGGGGCAGACAATAGAAACTGCCTTGAGGGTAGTTCAGATGTTAGACTTAGCAAGCAAGGACCCTAAAACAGATATTTTAAATATGTTCATTGTTACTGTAAGAGTAACAATGACTCATCCAATAGAGAATATTAATGCCAAGACAAAAATTATTTTGAATAAAAGAACCAAATTGAAATTTTAGTTAAAAATAACTGAAATGAGAACTACACTAGAGTCTAAATACTAGATTTGACTTGATCAAAGACAGAATAAGCAAACAGAGGGATGGATCAAAAGAGACTATGCAATTTTAAGGAAAAAAAGAAAAAATAATGAAAAATCAGCAGAACCTCAGAGCAATGGAGGACACCATTAAGTGCACCTACATACGCATAATGCAATTCCAGATAGAGAGGAAAGGAGACAGACAAAAGACTAAAAGAAATAATGGTTGAAAACTTCCTGAATGTTAGAAAAAAACCCCACCACTCTACAAATCCAATAAATCTCCAAAGAGTATTCATGGAAAGAGAGTGAAACCCTACATTGTAGTCAAAATATAGGAAGACAAATATGAAGAGACAAACTTGAAAACAAAAAGAGAAAAACAGTTCACCACATGAAAGAGAATCAGAGTAAGAGTCACAGCTAACTTCCCAGCCGAAACCATGGAGACCAACAGGCAATGGGGCAACACACTCAAAATGTTGGAAGAGAAAAAAACAAAACCTGTTATCCAAAAATCCTATATACAACAAAAACATCTTTCAAAAATTTCAGTGAAATAGATCTGTGGCTGTAGCTTGCTGAGCTTGCATGAGGACCTGGGTTTCAATCCCTAGCACTGAAAAATATTAAAGTAAAATAAAAACATTCCAAGGTAAATGAGAACTGAGACATTTCGTTGTTAAGTAGATCTGCCTTATGAGGGCATATTAAAAGAAGTTCTTCAGCTGCAAGGAAGTGACACCAGGGAATAATTCAAATACACACATACAAAATCAAAGGGTTCCAGCAGAGCTAATTAAGTAGTTAATGACAAAAGGCAGTATAGTGACATATTTCTAGTTCCTTCTCTTAACTGATTTAAAAATAAATTGCAAAACCAATATGTACACTGTTGAGCCTGCAGATAAATCCAAATATAAATATCTGAGATTATATATGTATATATATATCTATGTAAGCTACATATATATATGCATGTAAATTGTTCTTCCGGAGGCCTGTGAGGGAAGGATCTGCTCCAGGCCTCCCTCCTTGGATTGTAGGTAGCTGCCTTTTCCTTGTATTTTCACATCATCTTCCATCTACTCCTGTCTGTCTCTGTGTCCAAAATTTTGAAAAATTGTCTTTTCATTAGGTCATCACCACAACAATCTCATTTCAATTTGATCACCTCTGTAAAGACACTATCTGTATATGAGGTCATATTCTGACGTACTGGGACTCAGAATCCAACATATATTTGGAGAGCACATAATTCAACCCATAACTGAACACTAGAATCCATTTAAGAAAAATGAAGGCAATTCTAGGGACAAATTCTCCCAATCCCAGTTACTTAGCTTCCAACACCTTGCCTGAACCGACTCACTGAGGGACCTTCCTGCTGCAGTACCATTGACCTTGGCTAGCACACAGTCTTAGAAGAGCCGTGAACCTCTCAGAAGCAGAGGGGCCCTCCTGCCCCCACTGCCCTAAAAATCCAATCATGATCAGAGCTGGGACCCAAACCCAGAGCAGCTGAAACGATGTTCTGGAACGCATAGGCTGTGCTGCTGTCAGAACAAATCAGGTCATGAGGTGAGGAGGCTCAGTTGGGTACCAAGGCCTTGGAGATGGTCAGGGTGTGACTGTTCTGAAATAGTGGCATCCTTGGTTCCAAGCGGAAGTGGAAGGAAGTCCTTTCTGGAATAAAATGTCCCCAGTGTAGTCTGACAGGAGTCAACTAGAGGAAGATCAAGCAAAAATGTCATCATGAAAGATCACCAAATCTCTGTGAGTGAGAATGTCGAGAACAATGAAGTAGAGGTGTCTATACAGATTTTCAATATACATTTGTGTAAGCACGGCACCAAAACCTACTCAGTGGCAATCCTTTGCTCTGAACTGAAAGGCTAAGCTTAGCAGCCATACCTGCCTCAGTTATTCACTTACACTTTGTTGTTTTTTCTTGGGATGATTTTGTACTTCACATCAATCTAAAATATGGAAATGTCCAGGTTGAAGGTAAGAAAACTTCTGCCAATAATGAAGGTACTGAGAGTTGCACTATGGATTTGCTAAGGTGCTATCTGGTGAAAACCTTATCACCAATCAATCAACAGTGGGAAGAAAACTGCTCTGCAGAATGGCATCTGAGCCACCAATGGGTCCCACCCTGCTGACTGTCCCCGAAGGACCAAGTGTTGGGGGCACATACAAGTGGCATTTGGAAGTAACTGGAAAGAGGCCGCATCTGCCATTTTTGAAAATGGTATACAATTTATCTTTGTATATTATACAAACAAGACAGTATGGACAACCAAGGAGATGTTTTGAAGGATTAATGACCACTTTATACCAGTGGAACAAACACATTGCACAAGACTGGACAGGAAAACACACTCGTGAGATCCTCTCATGCCTGGAAGACTGCTCTTCTCAGCCCTTTCCTGAGTTTCTTAAGAAAGCCATATTTCAGTTTTTATTTCCCCCCTGTGGGCATGGGTACTATGGCCTCTGTGCAAAGAATCTTAGAGGAAGAGTGAACACTTATTTCAGATTGAACGTTTACTACACCCGTAGAGGCTACAGCAAAGGAGTGCAGTCTTCGACTGTCACGTGTACAATTGTCAGTATAAATGGAAGAATGCTTACACACTAACATTAACCACTGCCTGGCACGGATTCTGACTGCAATGCTGTTTACAAACAAAGCTGCCCAGGAAGACACACGAAGACATTCTTGTGAGCCATTCTTGCAGAAAACAGTGATCAAAGTGTA